GTGCTGTAAACGCTTTAAATCCTTGGTGATTTGCTGATTCAAGTCATCCACATCCAGTGGAAAATCCACTGAATCCCTTGTGATTCTGTGGTTCAAGTACGCCAATTCTAGTGCTTGTGGCAGCACACCCCTTATGATTTGAAGGCTCAGGTTGCCCACAAGTTGTGCAAAATGCACCTACTCCCTTGTTATTTGCTGGTTCAGGTGGTGTGTTTTCTTGTTTTTTTGCTTTAAGTTACTTCAATGTTTGGCTGGATGTTTGCTCTCTTGGTGGCAAGAAGCATGGGGATACAAAAGATAGAAAAGTGTCTACCACTTAGTAATTGGCTGGTATGCCCAGTTTTAAGCAGGCGCTGAGGTTTGTTGAATGTATGAGTTCTGCATTGGTTGAAAGGAAAAATAAGAATAAAAGATAAACATAAATAAAGAAGAAGAAAAAGAAGAAGAAGAAGAAAAAGAAAAAAAGAAGAAAGAAGAAAGAAGAAACAACATAGAAACCAGCATAGGGATACAAAAGATAGAAACACTGTAAACTGCCAAGTATCTGGGCCTGCTTCTGCTGAGTCTGACAATGCAAAGTGGAGTGTGGCCATGCAAACAGCATGGGGATACAAAAGATAGAAAAGTTTCTACCACTGAGTAAAAATGCTTGGTATGCCCGGTTTTAGGCAGGTGCTGAGGTTTGTTGAGGGTATGAGTTATGCATGGGTTGAGAGGAAACAGCAAAAGAAAGGAACCATACAAATATAGAACAGTAAGAAGGCAAGAAGAATACAGAAAGAAGAGGAAAGAAAGAAACGGAAGGAAAAAGAAGAAAGAAACAACAAAGAATAATAAACAGAAGAAAGAAGAAGACAGAAAGAAGAAACAGCATAGAAACCAGCATAGGGGTACAAAAGATAGAAACACTGTAAACTGCCAAGTAACTTAAGTATCTGGGCCTGCGTTTGCTGAGTCTGACAATGCAAACTGGAGTGTGGCCATACAAACAGCATGGGGATACAACAGATGGAAACGTGTGTACCGCTTAGTAATTGGCTGGTATGCCCAGTTTTAGGGAGGCGCTGAGGTTTGTTGAATGTATATATTTGGGCCTGCTTCTGTTGAGTCTGACAATCCAAATGAGTGTGTCCCGTGCAAACAGCATGGGGATACAAAAGATGGAAAAGAGGGAACAAATCTTGTGTCCATGATTCTCATGGACGCTGACGCTGTTTGTTGAGTGAGGTGTGTGAAATAGGTAACAACCCTCCGCCGGTCGCTCCCTTTCCAACAGCAAACACAGAGAATGAGGGTATATGAAGGTATATGTATATATATATATATACAGGAATCCGGATACACTTGCAGCGAATGTTTTGCAGTGTGGTCACACGTGAACATGTCTGTGCAAATAGCAGGGAAATATGAGATTTTGAAAAATCTGAACTTTTCTATCTTTTGTATCGTGCTGGTATTTGCGGCAAAATCTGTCATGTTTGGCCCAATTTGTCTTGAAGTTGATTGAAACCGGCTAACATTTTCCAGGATGTAACTTTTCTATCTTTTGTTTCTCCCTGGTATTTGCACAAGATTGTGCACGTGTGGCATCGGTCATGTTGTGTGATTTTGGCAATTTTGTGTAAATAGCAGCACGTAACAAAAGATAGAAAAGTTGTCTGATATGGGAAATCGAAAACATTGGCGATTCAGGACATCGGGAAGGAGGCAAATCCTTTGCGCATTAGTTTTCAATTGATTTATAAATGTATTCATATAATGTACTCAATTTTTGGTGGTACACCAGGGAGACCACGCATACTAGAAACGAGTATAGGCAGAAACCCACTGGAATCATGCCTTGCACGTGCCAAACGGTGCACGTGCGCTGGAAGCTGAAAACATATCACTGCATTAACCTTCTGAAACCATGGTATGACAAGTGGCCAGAAACATCCGGGCGCCACAGTCTCTAGGTTTCTGTGTTGACATGTTTTGTTTTTCGTCATCAAGGTAGACACCCGCACATGGATACAAATGTTAATATGAAATTTCAAAGTTCATTGTTGGGTCCTCAACGGTTGTGTTGTTCCTTTTGTTGGGGTGACCTTGTTTGTTGTTCCAGTCCAGGTTCCTCCTCAGGAATGATGATGACAAGGAGGCATGTTTTTCTTTAACGATTCAGATTGGGGCAATGCTCGCGGATCAACAGGGTTGCTCCTTAACATAGTAGCACTTGCACCTAACAAGTACACTGGAACAACTGTTTTCTTCAGTGCCGGCAACTGGCGCTGTGCTTCCAAACGCTAAAGTGATTTCGCAGTGGTAGACCTCATAACCTGCCAGGTTTGCAGACGGACATTTGAGAGCCTGGCACTTAGGATGGTGGAATGTTAATTTGGATGAGCCGAGATTGTTGGAACATCGAGAAATGTTGGTAGAACATGTTCTGCACCTGGAAACCATGAGAATCTCCTTTTCCATTATTTATACTGTCCATCGGATAAGGCAGAGTTTTTGTGGTGGCACAGTTTTTGGCCCAGTGAAGATCAATATGGAGTTTTCACGACTATGCGCTTGGTGAAGACAAATCTTAAGTCTATTGGACGGTATCCCGAATCTATGAGAAGCATGGTGAAGTGTAAACATATGTAAACTGTTCAATTCACATCTGATAACCCCCACCGTGGGGCATACAAGGACCACTCGATCGAGCGCCAGCACGGGAACGAGCGCCGCTCAGAGGCACCGATCGGTCAGAGGTTTCGTTCTCAGAAATGAATCAGTTTCAATTAAAAAGACTTGAAGGAACCTAATAAAATAGCAATGGCCTCCGACCTACTAGCGCTGGCCTCGAACCTAGAAGCGATGGCCTCCAGCATTTGAGCGATATTCGAAGACCATCACCAGCTGTGCCATGCTGTTTGTTGAGGTGTTTTGAGACCGCACATGTGTGTGACACCACCAAGAGTTGCTTTTCTTGTTGCACCACATGTGCGCATTTTGAACATGTAGGAGTGTAGGATGTTTGTGCATGGTTCCACTACTGTTTGCGCTTTCAGGCGTTTGATTTGATCTGAGTTTAGTCCGACCCCTTTAACGGAAAGACCCTCATCCGAAGCCTTCACCAGTGCTAGCTTCAGAAGGACGAAAAAACACAAACCCCTTGGATCCACCGCTGCCACCGCAGGCCGCTGCGCGGCTGCTGGAGTGTTTACATGCAGAGGCCGCAATCGAGGCTGGTCGAACGATGCGTGTGTTTGCCAGTCTAATGTCTACTACATATGTGATCGATTATGATCGATATATTGTGTCTTATTGTGTCATATTATCTATTATGATCGATATATTATGATCGATATATTATCTATTTACATATTGTGTCTTTTTTGTTTGATTCAACACATGTGTCTTATTGTGTTTGTTTTATGTGTTTTTTTCCGACTGGAGTGGCTACTCCCCACCTCTCCTGGCACGTCCTTATTTTTCCTAACATGGGAGATGTATGATTGTGCGTTCTGTTTCCTTATGCTCCATCCTAAGAAGCATTCTTTAGTATGTATGAACACTCACCTGGAAAAGTTTGGATTCGGAAATGGTAGCAATTCACAGGATGTGCCTAGTCCAATTCACAGGTATGATACGAAGACCTCGCACGGGGAGATCTCAATGGAACTATTCCAACTCCGTGTTCAATGACTTCATGGGATACTGTAAATGTTTTGCTAGGGCTACTGTAGGGCGTTGACGGTGTACAATGCTTTGATATTATCCAAATTCAATGTTTTTGTAAGCCCAGGTTCATTGAATAAGCAAACTAGGCATTACCCCATGGCACCGTTTCCTCATGCAATATAATGCGATATATATATATATACACGCATAAATGGAATACATATCATATCCACCAACAGCTGGTAATCTTCAGGCTACCTCCAAGACACCCACGGAGGTGCAGGCTGGACAGGGTTGAACGAACCTGGTTCTTGGCAAGACCCAATTGTGCCCGGTTCTTGGTTGAAAGACAGGTTCTTGGTTGAAGTATGGTGTCCTGGTTGTCCTAAGGTTCGTCACCCAGTTCATTCTTGCGTGAGACTTCGTGTTGAAGGTGTTTTTGGTTCTTGCAATCTTCCGGTGATTTGACTGCCAGGGTGGTTGGAAGATCTTGGGGACTGGGCATAACACGATCTCAGATTGTTGACCCATTGATATTCTGATTTGCTATTGTCACTGTTCAGAGCGAATCGTAAGAGCGATTGCATTTCCTGCATAATTGCTGACCTGGAGGTTGGAGTAAAGTCCCAGCCAGGTTGTCCTTTGAGCTGTAGATTAGTGTGCCTAAAAGTTCAGAGCCATCAGTTTGCTTCAAAAGATGCTTCCTTGGCCAAGCCAATGTTTTCTTTGCGTCCCGGCCGAATCAACAGTAACTCCACTCAGTTCCTATGGTCTCGAAGCTTGCGCTCTTTGTTCTTCATATTCGAAATCTGAACGAAGATCCGACATCGACACGATCCGAGGTGTTGGCAGTTGAGAATTAGTACTGAATGATGCTGTTCTCACGTGAGAGAGAAGTCATTCACTACTGAATCCAGGCTTTTTGAAGCGAAGATGTTCTCGTTTGTTGGAAGATGTCCCCAAGTACGGTCCGGTGTGGTCTACCTCTGAGGAGGACGTACGGAGACCTCCAGATCGGCCAGTGTCAAAAGCAAACATAGACTAATCATATACAGTATATATATATATTATATATATTTTGACATGACTCTAGTCTAAAACCGATTTCACCTGTTTTCGAATTCTCCCTAAAGAAAAAAACATGCCATTCAAATTTCCATGTGGCTTAGCAATGGAGCCGCTCTAGGTGGATGAAGCACGGCCATTTGTGGAGCCGTTCGAGCCATCGGCCTCCTGGTGCAGCGTGATGTAGGCGAGGCGCTCACGATTGGACTCAGCCTTTCCCGCCTTTCTTCATGGTTCGGGCAAACCCTATTCTTCGTATATTATGTGTTTATCTACTGCAGGTGATAGCAGCTGGAAGAAGAGAACAACACATGAGGACCAGGGAAAGAGGACAAGAAGAAGAAAAACAAGAAGAAGACTAGGAAGCAGTGAAGCAGTCAAAATAATAAGCAGTAAATAGAAACTAATAGAGCTAGAATGAAATAAATAAACATAAACAGAAGAAGAAAAATAAGCAGAAGAAGAAGAAGATGATGATGATACGATCTAGTTGGACGTCTCCGAAGCTGACAAAAGCCTAGCCACAGGCTGTGGCTTTGCTGCGTGTGCTCATGTGTTACGGATCTTTTGTCGAGCGCCCAGAGGCTTCCACAACAAAGAGGCCCAAGTTGGCAAGGTGGCCTCGAAACCCGGTCATCGACAGCTACAACAACCCGATTCGCGACCTCTCGCGACGAGAAGTAGCGTTCTTTGGGAAAATCACCCGGACCAATGCAACAAACAATGCACGCAGCGTGCGGGTCACCTCTCCGCCACCTCTCCGCTCCCTGTGGTATCCCTCCGTGCCAGGTGAGTGCATAGTGCTGTGATGTCCATGTAGCGTGGCTCACAGGCGCGCAGCGCGAGTCGATCCGCGCGCGTCGCGTTCGTGCGCGCTTGGTGCGCTGATCGGTGCTGCCTAGGTCGCAGCTGCGCAGGTCCTTCGTTCGCAGCTGCGCAGGGCTCCAGGCGTCCGTCAAGGGGGCGAGCTGCGAGCTGTCGCCATGCCGCAGGAGATTTGGCAAAAGCACCTCTCTGCGAAGCAGCCAGTGTGCTTCAAAGCGATTCCTGGGCTACGCCACATGGCTCAAGTTTGCCAAGAGGGTAGGCAGATGGTGCAACTATATAAACGTCATATTTTTTAAACTGTTTTTTCTGTGTGAGACCCCAGTAGACATCAATACATGGACACGACTCTTTGCGTAGGCTTGAGTAGACAAGATAGATGTGCCCAGGAAGCCTTCTCAAACCCTCACCTACATGTCTTCATAGGTTGTGATTACCCCCGAGCCAGCACATTTGAAAAGACCAAACCACAAAGACCGCCCGGTTCGTTCAGTGACTTTGCCGTCCAAGTCATGGACAAACAATTCTGCAAGCCTCTTCTTCAGATCGAGTTGCAAGTGGGGATTTTGATTTGGAGCATTGATGTCACTTGATGTCTTGAACTGCGTGAATATTGTGCACCCAGTGCAGTGCACCCAGGTCTAGATCTCCGAAGCTGCTCCTTATTGGACTCTGCCTCATCCTCCCATTTGTATGTCTCAGTGAACGATGAACGCTTAGCCTTGGGCCACGTCACTGCTGCAAAGCCCTTCTGCCAGCTGCGGTTTAGTAGCTTTGGCTCCGATGCCACCTTCACCTGCGACGGGGCGCTTTTGCTCAGTGGCGTCATCCTGGACGACCCCTTTGCCGGCTTCATCGGCACCAGCAGCGCCTCTTCTGGTACGCCGCCCGCCAAGAGGCTGCGCACAGAGGCACCCGAGCCAGTGGACAAGGCGCCCGCAGCGAAGCCGGGAGCGAAACCGGCAGCGAAGCCAGCGGCGAAGCCGGCAGCAGAAGCTCCAAAGCAGTCCCCAAAGGATGTGATGAAGGAGAAACCAATGGAATTGAAGGTCAAGGAGGCCTGGAAGCTGTGTGCACGATTGGTCCGAATCAAGAAACAGATTGCCGGTTGGAAGCAAGAAAAATCGACGGTGTGGTCCACCTGAACTGAACTGCCGACTGCACCATGATGTCCTTTAATTTCATGTAAGTGACATATAATATCATTATATAATAACATTGTAACATGACTCTATATCATGTTGTAATATTGTGATGATTGTTACATGTCTTGATGACCGCGGTTGCGGAAAAGCAATCATTCATATATAAACAATACAGGACTCACAGAAAAGGGATACCCTGTATCAAGGTAAAACATAGGGAAGCGATAGGGTACTCACAAAATTGACAATCAACAGCCGCACACACTAAATGTTGACCGTACCTCACCAATTATAACCAACACATACAAGTATTTCAATATATATATATATATATCTATACACATCATATGTTAATAGTGGTGGAATTAAATCCATCTCTTGACCTGCTCTCAATGGCGGGGTTGGCCAGATCTGAAAATCCACTGGGCGCGGCTCGGCCCACGCAAAGCTTGGTTTTTCAGGTGAAGAAAGATGGCAAGCCTGAGAAGGCCGTAACTCAGAGGACTTTGCCCTCCGGATTGAGATATGAGGTGCTGCAGAGAGGCACAGGGCCGCAAGCCCAAGCCGGCAAAAAGGCCATGAAGGGTGTTCACGGGCCGTCGCACGTTTCATGTGGAGCTAGACAACCCCATGTACTTAGCACTGTACTTACACCAGCAAGGGTGCCTGTTGTAATTGGTATTGAATGCAAAGCACCGTGGATCAAGGAGGGTTGAGAAATGGATTTCGGTTGTAAAAGCATCATCATGTCATTGTGGATAGCCTCAAACGTTTTAAAGGTGGCATAACCTAGTGAATATGTGTACATGAACAGTATTTACCAAGGGTCGATATGTTTGACAGAGAGATCGTTGTCTCAGAGATAAGGGATTGTATGTTTACATATGTTTACATTTAATTATGATCATACATGTATTTGTTGTTTTTGCTTTGTTATGTGTTACTCGTAGATGTTTCTACTGTCTCCTCGGTATACACCTTGGAGAGCGTAGCAAGTGTGTTGGAAAGACATCCTCAAACATGCGCTTCCCCAGCCGCTTTGGGCCACCTGCGACCGTAGTGGGTGAAGCGCTCACACGTGCCACAGGTGAAGGTCCGCTATGAAGGTCGTTTGGGCTCCAATGGGAAGCGCTTCGACAAGGGAGTCATCGAATCTGACCTGCAGAAACAATGCACGTACAATGATAATAGACTCTACTTACATGCGTCCGAACTCAGGGGCAGCCCTTTGCCATGGCGGGAAAGTAAACCGATGCCAAGAAGGTAGTAGCTTTTTCCCGAAAGCATTGCGAAGGGTTCTTCCGGAAAATCCTTTGAACACTTACACTTCGACACTTACACTTACACACACACACACTGGAAGAGCGAAAGCATCCAAGTGCGAAGTATGCCAGTGTCAAAGTATGCAAGTGTAAGTATGCAAGCATGATATGCAAGGGTGAGTATGCAAGCACGCAATGAGTATACAAGCATGCAATGAGTAGGCAAGTGTGAGTATGGAAAACTAGCACGGGAGATGTCCTAATGAAAAAACATTTCCCCAAAACATTTCCCCACTTTATAAATTCTCTCTTAAAGGCGGAGTGCGGGACGAACAGCGTCAACCGAAAGTGCAACCCTCTGCGGAGATCGGGCGTGTCGAGTGCGCGAAATGCAGGCGAGAGTGCGATTCGCCGGCTGCGCGCGCAACCCTCTGCGGAGATCGTGCGTGTCGAGTGCGCGAAATGCAGGCGAGAGTGCGATTTGCCGGCTGCGCGCGCAACCCTCTGCGGAGATCGTGCGTGTCGAGTGCGCGAAATGCAGGCGAGAGTGCGATTTGCCGGGTGCGCGCGCGACCCTCTGCGGAGATCGGGCGTGTCGAGTGCGCGAAATGCAGGCGAGAGTGCGATTTGCCGGGTGTGCGCGCAACCCTCTGCGGAGATCGTGCGTGTCGAGTGCGCGAAATGCAGGCGAGAGTGCGATTCGCCGGGTGTCCGCGCAACCCTCTGCGGAGATCGTGCGTGTCGAGTGCGCAAAATACAGGCGAGAGTGCGATTTGGCGGATGCCTGCGCAACCCTCTGCGGAGATCGTGCGCGTCGAGTGCGCGAAATGCAGGCGAGAGGTGTGGAGTATCTGGGGAGCTGGGAGATGAGCACTGGTGACTTTGTAGTACAACTGTAGTACGCGGAGTAGCTGGGGAGCTGGAAGCTCAGAACTGGTGACTTTGTAGTAGAACTTTAGTGCGCGGAGGAATCTGTGGAGCTGGAAGCTGAGAACTGGCGACTGCGTA